GCCCTATGGCTCCGCGGATTACGAGAGTATCTCGCGCGAATGGTCACGTGAGGTGTGTTCCGGAAAATCTTCGGGATTGCACTATGACCGACTGAGATAAATTCGGTAATTGCACGAGCAAATAAACACCGCTGGCCACTTTGGCGCAATATATCACACGCGTGTATTTGAACGGTGAGAAGACGAGAATACGAAGCGGCACGAGATCTCGACTGAGTTCAGGATAAACGAGAAACACGTCTGTTCTCCTCGAGGTCTGGCGTGGTAATGATTCTGTGCTTTCACAGCCACGGTCTGCACGTTCTGCCTCACGGCAGTAACCGGCTCTTCCCTCACTCCGTTTTACCCGCGCGACCGATTGGTCGAACGGTGGGGGTGCGTGCGCGCGCAACCTATGACGAGGAAATAAACTGATGGTGAGGGTAGCCGATTTACTTTGGGGTGGGGAACGCGCGAGGAGCGTGACAATACATTGTCTTGCTCTTCGGACGCTGCGAGTGAGCTCCGTTTGAACACTAACATTTACTGCAATCATGTTTTTGCAATCGTCAGACACCATGGTGTATTCACGTATGAAGAATACTCTAATATATCAAAATATTGCATCTTTAGACTATGAATATTTACGTTATCAATAAGAGATATATGATTAATAACATTATATATGATCAATTACATTATGAAAAAAATATTAAATAAAAACAGATTTTTTTTTCTTTTGTCCTACTTTTTTTTTATCTCAATTTCAGGTATCAAAAATTTTTCAGCGTAAAATCTATCATAAAATATTTTATAACATTTCTCTTTATGATTTTCGCTCTCTTGAACATTTCATGTTTTTTCGAGACTTCAATTTTCCTACGGCTTTTCGTGCAATAAATGTTAATATGAAAGGGACTCGATCTGCGCTTGGAAGACGCAAGTGCAACTCAGTGGTGCGCGCGACACAGTCTCGGGACACAACGGAACGTGTAGCATGTAGCAATAGGATCTCGACGAGGGAGAGAGTGAGAGGCCACGCACACGAGCATACGGCGCTCGCATGCACCTCGGAGCCGTAAAGGCGCGTATGACACGACAAAACGACACTCGAGCGCAACTACGCAGTTTACGCGACCAAGTATGAGGGGTGGGGGGTGCAGCCGCAAATCGGAAACGTTTACTTTACCACCGTTAAAATTAAACTCCCAAGAAAACTGAAAAAAAAAAAAAAATGTTGCTCTCGTGCGAGATGTATCTTTCTCGTTTTAATTTTAATTGTCCCATTTTACTGATATTATTCAATTTTTTTATATTAAAATTCTTCAATATTGCAAAATATTTTAATGAATACTAATCTTGATTCATGCAACGATAAACTAATGTCGACGATATTTTCTTGATATTAATGATAAACACTAACGCGATACCATTTTCGATATCATTCACTCATCATTTATAGGTGATAATAATAATAATAACAGACACTCGAGCGATAATGAATATCAGTCTGCAGTGTCAAAGATCAATTTTATCGTTCGAATGACAACACGCCGAATTAATGAGCTCGGACATACTTATAATTAATTAGGAACGGATGAGCGAAACGAACACGAGACAACTTGCAAATGTTTAATTTCCAGATAATTTGTGACGATGCGAACGATATTCGCGGCATCGCTACGGTTAAGTTCTTTTTTTTTTTTTTTTTCTACAATCGATGAATGGGCGAGAAAACGGAGAAAACAAGAATACAATACGTTGCCATTGCGCGCGCTGATTCATGATGCACCGTGCGCCGGCTACACGAGAGCGTGACTACATAAATAAATATGAGCATATTGGCTTGCACGACGCGCGTGAAAAACGGAATCATACATTCAACGTGGATCAAGGAAAAAGTCATTGTATTATCATTAATGTTGTTTTATTTATATCATACGTAAAATTCACGAAAATTTTAATCGCGCACTGTACAATGAAATTTAATTTAGGAATTTTTAACACGTTTGAGGATCAAGGATCGCAAAAATGTATCACACATTCTTTCGCTTTATCTTTAGAGATCTAATTTTAACACTTGAAACACGGAAATGCAATTTCATTTGAACAAGATTGAAGTTTAATCAATCGACGGAAAAAACGAAATGCACTTCTCTTCTACGAATTCATTGATGCATAACATAACGTCGTACCGGCGTTACAATAGAATAGCGTGTTAAACAATCTCGAAAGCGTGAACGTGAGCACCACTTGAATCGATAGGCGATCGACGTCTCTTTGGCGTGTGCATGCAAGCATGAGGAGAGAGAAAGTGAAAGATAAAGAGAGATAGGGAGAGAACAACAGATTAATGTCAGAAGTGGAGTGCATGGAGAGACGTTGTCATTGGATATCGGATGTGGGAGTTAAAGGCCAGGTGAATCTCGGCGCGTCGGGGATGACGTTACAGAGAGATGACATTACCACTGTGTAGAACGTGGAAACCGGAGTCGATGCGTGTGTCGAGATGTGCGCGTTCTGGCCGTAGTTCGACGAAATGGCGATGTCGCTATCGATGGATGCTTATATCGGCTCCCATAGATATCGCGTCGCGTCAATAGGTGCAATGCCATCATTGATAATTTTGCGCGCGAAAATTTCAGCGGAGGAGCCTTAAACCAGAGAGAGATTCTCGCGGTGGATCGATACGCGAATACTTGATCGCGCGTCTTACAGGAACTGCTCGTTATGAGAGACTCCACTTCTACGAAGTCAATTGTCTTTAATGTACGTAAAAGTTGAAGAGGCGACTTTAGGGAGGGACGAGTTGATTGTGCCATCATTGTACGAGAAGTCGATTCGCTTAACAAAGTTAAACTTAGTTGCGAGAACTTCGGAGAGTATTTTAATGCTATGCAATAATTTTTACGTACAAGAGTTTTAGGAGATGTTAGAAAATAAGAAAGAAAAACTCAATAAGTATATTACGAAATATTGCACAATGCATGTAATAATGAATTTTTAAGTATTAACAGATAAGACTGAGCATCTTAATTAACAAGTATGTTTTTTTTATAATGAATAGATAAGTAGCTAAAATGTATTTCTATTAAAAAAAATATCGCAATATACAAAAAGTAAATTTGTTATTCAATTTATATACAAAAAGTAAATTTTTTATTCAATTTATTAAATAATCATTATATGTATTATAAATCAAACATAGAATTTAAAATCGTTTAAATCTGTTCTTAAAATTAATCTTTATTTTCTCTATACGACAACATATGTTTTATCAATTTTTAATCAATCTTAGTCGTATATATATCTAAATAAAATCACTTTTCACGAAGTAATAATAAAGTAAAAATATAGATGCGATCATAATAGCGAAATTTCTAATTAAATATTTTTTTAGATCTGATATATTCGACACTTTCGTATTCTTATCAATTTTTAATTTCCTTATCGACCAATTTTATTAAAAATTCTATCATCAATATAATTAAAATTATAATTAAAATTACGTCATATTATACTCATTTTATGTAAACTTGACTTTCAAGACAACCTAATAAATAAATTCTTGGCGTTGCAATTTTCTGTTGTGAAAAAATCATAATCGTATCTTGCCAAATCTATTAGACATGGATGCAAATGTCGGCTTAATAACTGCCTTTCAGCTCCACCTAATTGGAGTTACTGTCATAGAGACACTGGTCAACGATTAACGATATTCCCGTTTAGCGATTAACGATTCGCAATCTAGAACCCTTTCTTCCTGATCTTTCGCAGCGGTGTCGCATCGTTTTATTTCAATATGAAGCATCGTGCTGCGTAGCATCGGTCGCTGTCCGGTAGCGACCGAGATTTAAAACCGGTAGCACCACGTACGCGCTCCGTACTGTACATTTTTAAAACAACCACCGCGATCGCGTGGGTGTTGGTCATCGATTTGGGAACCTGCGCTACTTCGTTTCTAACTACACAAATCGGACAGGATCTCGAATCGACATAATTCTTTACGATATAATTTCAGTAAATAAAAAATACTTTGTGAAGGAAAGCAAAGCATTTAAAAGCCTCGCGACATAAAATCGGCTTTGCTAAAGTCCGCCGTGGAACGAGCTTATCCCGTGATAGTAACATGATAATAATAACGCGATAATAGATTATAACACCGTGCGTATATAAATTATGTCGTGTTCGCAACTAAGCGAAATACACTATATCTTCATTTGTCAGCTTCTGCGGAATTCTAACAGAGGCTCCTTATTCTGTGCATATGCATGTCTATGTAGTAACAAGCATGCCCGTCCACATCACTATGATGATTTAAAGCTTCTGGTTTAATATCCAGAGACGC